ATCTACGTTGCTAATAGAGTCTTCCGGTCTTACATCCATGTTGAAATAATGTACTGTTCAATTTAGATTTTAATAAACAATTCGCGTGCTTCACTTTAAAGTTTAAACGCTTTTGGCACTTTTTCCCATTAGAGTATAGGTGAAAATTGACATTATGTCGTCGCACAATTAGATATAATTGAGATCATGAACACAAACGGAAATTGCGCACCACAGGATAATTATACACGACACTCAACAGAAGGAGTTGATCGACACAAGCAAGCGTTGAATGATTGCCAAGTCAAGTTTCAGTTCTTTGCCACAATATCTCACTTTTAGGTGATCGTAAAGCAAATTCGAACTAATGTAACTCCTGGTTGCCAAATACAAGAGTCACAGGGGGTTGAATGGTTGAAATAGGTACAAATGAATATTCGAACTCAACAAATAGCAAATCGATGTACAATGGTTAACAAATTCAACAAAATGGCCTTTGTACAAGTCACGCAACGTATTGTAGCCAAGTAGAAATTCAATACGGGTAGCAAATTGTACTAATAAACACGATGTGGGACTTGTAGGTTAGGCGCAGTCGTAGATTTGTAGGATAAATTGTAGCGTAAATTGTAGCATGAATTGTAGCATAGATTGTAGCATAGATTGTAGCATAGATTGTAGCATACTACTTAACTATGTTACTTAATGCATGCGAAAACTAACACACAAATGTCATTGACTAACAAAACTAACAAGCACATACAATACTGTAAAACTTACGTACTTTGGTTTATACTTGTACCAAACGAGTAGCGATGAATTCAAAAGCAGTTCTTCGTACAAATACGTAGAAATGTCCCTTTCAGTTTAACAATAGCTTGTAGCAATTACACGTCCTTACTCTGACGCAGTCACAACTTTACTAACTCACGCTATCTATAGTCTATTAGGAACATATGGTATAGCCGTTTCCGTCCTGGTATCAATCAAATTAACTATATTATTAACTAAAACATAATGAACTATTTATGAAGGACAATGAACTAATTTTAAGTAAGCGTTTCAAACCAACAGTTCAGGTTTATGCAAAAATGTGGTCTTTCATCGTGACGTGCGTATTGTATTTTTCTCAAGTCAACCAATAGGAATGTTCAAAATGTCCTATTGTTAAAGTCATGGATGGCCAATTGGACAAAACCGTTGCTATTGTCTGGTTGAACAAAAATACAATACGCACGTGACGATGAAAGACCACATTTTTGCATAAACCTGAACAAAAACATAGATAGTGAGGTTTATTGTAATGCTAATGAGTTTCCAAACCATCTCCTCTATTAACTATGATAAGACTATAATACGACACTGTACAACGTTATACAAGACTATACTTCAAAAACTCATTAATAATTCAGGACAAAACAGAAAGAAAAATCTTAAGCGTGTCGTGGTTTTATATGTGATAAAAAATCACGTTAATTTACATAAACCTTAGCTTTGATTTTCCCGGTTTAGACAAAGTTTATTTTAAAAATTACTTCGCCAATGAACTCGTATAAGATTTTGAAGCTATTTAACTCGTATAAGTTTTTGAAGCTATTTAAGGCACTTGTAGTCGTGTTTTATCACATATAAAACACTCCGCTACGCGTCGTGTTTTATATGTGATAAAACACTCCTACGCGTGCTTTAAATAGTACAACAATATATAAGGCTATACGATACTGTACGACACTATACAACGTTATACAAGACTATACGACCGCTATACAACATTATACATCATTTCGATGTTTTTCTTCGTCGTTGAGTTAATAGTGTACCCTGTGCGTGTGAGTAGACGCTTAATATCAAGTCTTCAATCATTTTCACGTTTTTCTTCGTAAATCATAACAACCGATTTGCAAACATTGAACATGCCTACATCATTCTGTCATGATATTTAAACGGTCAATATAAACTAATTACTAATAAGTAAACATTGTCAACACCGTATACTAATAATTGGCTAAAACGTACGTGCAAAAAATATTTTTCTAACGAAATTATTTTCGTTTATTTGTGAAGAAATTATCGTTTTTTATATTTTTGATCATGGCGGAAAGTACAGAGCGAAAGCTTTACGACGACTTACGAGCAATTACCGACTGACAGAAATCCAAATTTCTTCTATATTTTGAATCAAGCTGCATCGTTATAACTCGGTCCAGGAAACTGGCACGAGTCATGACGTCAAAATCAGTTGTCGAGATTAGTGTGCTGCCTACGGCAGCAATAAAGTTACTTACCACCCTTAGTTCATATTTGTGCGATATCTATTGTTCTCAATAGGGTTTTTATTTGGGTAACTATCTAAAAGCAAGGGGAGGGGATTTGATATCTCCACAGGGAAAAGCGGGGTTGATAAATAGAATTGAATGCCTAATTAAAAATGCAAGGTATCTAACTCCATAGTGACCACTTTTAGAGGTCACTATGGAGTTAGATACCTTGAATTTGTAACAAAACTCAAACCCCAACATCTCCTTTTCGACTAGAAAACGCTGCACGTCTCTGAGTCGAGAAAGAGACAACAGCCGTGTACCTCAGAGCCCGTCAAACTCTACCTTTGTGTAGAGTATTTATCATTCGGTGCACTAGGACTAGCTGAACCAACCATCAAACTTGCTTGTGCAAGCAATTTATACAGTAATATCTGCTCTTTCGCTTGTGGGACGCGAAATGATATACTACGCATGCTCAACCACATTAAAGCGTGTTTAATGCGCATGTTCAACCTTATTTCGTCCCACAACCACAACTTCCCGAGGACAATAGAAAATGGATATAAACAACATAAAAACCTCATGCATGGTCGGCCTTTCATTGAAATTCAAGAAAGACCTCCCAATAAAGACCTCCCATTCGGTTTTTATGCTATACAGTAGAAAAAACCCTGTTGAGAACAACTTGAGAATCTCTGCTTCGACAAATCCGTACAAATCTTCGTTAGCGCTTCTCGGTTGTATGAGCTATTTCAAACATATTTCATCGGAATTGTTGTTGGTGAACGAATATTTAATCACTTCTAGCTCTCATTGATAGTATACAGTACAGTAATGCGACACGAGAATTGATGCATATCAAATGCGAAAGCCCTGTTTGTTTTTATTACAACCATGGTAATTTAAACTCATTTAAAGAACAATACATATTATAAAGTAAATTTCATTGTGGGTCAATCCTTACAAATATGAACTAAGTTAGTTAGATACCTCAAACGTCGGCTCTTAGTCAGATAAATCCCTCGGGGCCTACGGCCCCTCGGGTTTGTATCTAACTAAGAGCCTCCCTTTTCGGTAACTAACTCTTACCTGGTTATTTTACCCTCATGAAATTAGTATTTGTAGAACAAAATCGTTATGCAACAAACTACCGTAAACCTCCGACTATAAGCTCCCCTGAATATAAGCCCCTCCCCGTGTATAAGCCCACCGCATGTACTAACGCTCACATCATTCCAAATATAAGCCCCCCCCCCC